TAGAATATCGTCCATATATAATCATTGTCATCTTCTAAAACTACAGACCATCCCCTGACCGCTGTGGAGACATTTGGAATTTGAATTTGAATTTGGACTCGAATTTGGCGCCTGTCTCCACTGCGGACAGCGCTTCATACTTGAACATCACCGCGGTCGCGTGCGCATATCCCGCGGAACTGCGCGTCTCATTCGCGCGCAGCGCTTAGAATCAACAGCAAAGCTGTGCCATGCAATCTTGTATCATGTCTCTCTGGTTTATTGATACATACGTATACACATATAGTTTATTATTCACTAACTGATACGTGGTTCTTAGATGGAATAATAATGGGTGTCAACACATTTCTTGATCATATAATAATGTGCTCATTTTTTATCAATCTCTCTCCCTTCCTCTCCCTCACTGATTACTTACTCCCACTCTCCCCTATATATATGTATATAAATCAGAAGTAGATAATAGGGAAGGAGTGTGACTTCAATAAACAAGGGAAATTCGTCATTTACTAGCCTTAGAATATCTACGATTTACTACGCGTAACTCACCCAACTTGAGCTCAAATCGTACACAGTACATTCGCCTAGCATCGTGCGAAATCGTTTCCTCGTATACACCCGCAATCCGGAGATACAGACTAAAACGTACGACACGATTCTCCATTCTGTTGCCAGCAAACCGAATGTATAAACCGCCTAACTTTAAACAAAAGGCAGCTAGGTCAAAGATTAGCTCGCCGAGTGTTGCGTCGATATCCAATCTCCCAGCGAGCCACACCGCATCGCCGAGGGCGCCTGAGTGCGCAAGAGTCGTTAGTAGCTGCCTTATGTTTCAAGTTAGGCAGTTTATACATTCGGTTTGGTGGCAACAGAATGGAGAATCGTGTCATACGTTTTAGTCTGTATCTCCGGATTGCAGGTGTATACGAAGAAACAATTTCGCACGATGCTAGGCGAATGTACTGTGTACGATTTGAGCTCAAGTTGGTTGAGTTATGCATAGTAAATCGTAGGTATTCGAAGGCTAGTAAATGACGAATTTCCCTTGTTTATTGAAGTCACACTCCTTCCCTATTATCTACTTGCGAATATGGCGAAGCCCACACGCCACAGAAAGCAAGGGTGATGCGGGGAAACGCAATCTTGGCACCTCAGTGTCAGAAGAGATGTCACAACAGGCTGTGAGTGGACGCTAGATCAAGCAAGCCGAAACGCGGGAGAGAACGCAACAAGCAGAACCCACGGCTAAGGTTCCCCGAGTCCTTGCCGATTGTGACAAGCCTAGACACCCACCAGATGATCCTATGACCCAGAGGCCAGAATTGGACTATGGATCCGAGCCAAGGGGAAATGCGCACCCCCACCATATTCGGTAGTGCAATGTAGCAGTTATAATACTCACCCCACCTTATTTGGTAAGGCCAGTTGGCCAGAAGGAAGCTAAAATGAGGGGTGACGTAGGAGAGGGAACCACGCCGTATAAGTAGTGGGAGCAGCCGCTCCTCGGGGCTCTTTGTAGAAGACACCCGCTGAGAAAGGTGTAAGTGCGTGATACGGGTACTATGGCTCAGGGGGTCGTTGTCGTAACAGGTACTACAGATATGTACCCGAGGTACATATATGTATACACAAAGTGTACCAGACTTG